GAAAACGTATCTACCTAAAACTCAGGTTCTCCTTGTCAAAGGATGGACATCAAAGTCGGGATGGGGGTTTCCTAAAGGGAAGATAAACAAAGATGAACTGGATGCTGCATGTGCCGTTCGCGAGGTGCCGTTGAGTAAACTTTTGACTGTGCAACTCGGCACGTTTTTCAAACGCTTGGAATTACTCACTCACGTAGTCTGATCTTTAGGTGTTGGAAGAGACTGGTTACGATATCGCGGGACTAATAAAGGAAGAGGACTATATAGAATTAACAATCAGGGAGCAGAGAATGCGGCTATATATCGTCGTTGGAGTACCGGAAGATGCGAGTTTTGCTCCAATTACAAGAAAGGAGATTAGCGTGCGTATTGATAATTAATTATTTAAAAGTTGGATTATCAACAATATTGTAGTAGCAATTAAAATTTCGCTTTGTAGAGGGTAGAGTGGCATAACCTGTCAGATCTACCAACCTGGGGACGGAATAAGCCGAGTCAAAATAAGCAAGGAACTCGTCAATATTATATGGTTGTACCATTTGTAAGGTATTTATTGATATGGCAACTTGTTGATAGTCTAATTTGATCTTTTGTCTCACACTTGTATACATAATTGATACAGTAAAATCAGATCCTGGCTTGCAAGAATGAGAAAAGTTGTCGAGGATCCAGGATTAGCCGAAGAACAAGAGACGTCAGAGGTATCCGATAATGACGTGCCCAAATATACCTACAGAAGAACAGTTGCCACCTCTTCATCCGTCAACGGACGACACATAACAGCCCCAAGACCTGTTGCAGCAACAGCAAACGCTGCAATAGCGGCGCTCGCTTCCTCCAACTCGACATCTGCGTACTCGGAACAGCAAAGGCGTAACTCTCTTCTTAGTCTATTTCAACAGGATGCTCCGCATCGCTCACCACCGCGTCCAAACACTACTCAGTGGCCGTCTGAGAACCCGGCAGTCAGCTACAGTTCATCGGATAGAAGCACTTCATTGTTAAACTTGCTCGAAGGAGGCATCAGTTCGTCTTCGGCTCAAAGAACAACACGACAAGATAGTGGAGCGTCTCATTCATTGACCGACGGAGGTTGGTATATCACTGCGTATGCGGTTTCGCACTTGATTTTGGGAAAAAGTTGGCTTGGGGGCTGGAGACATTTTCAATCATTACGAGAACGTATAGTTGGTTGTTCGTCATCGACGTTTTTCACCTCATTCCACACTCAAAACCTCTGCTTTTGACTTGACGTTCTTTCCTTGCAGGTTCCCTTTCCAGTCTCTACCAGGACCTCCTGACGTCTACCGGTCTAACAACAGATGCCAAATTACCCTTTCTCAATAATCGTTCGGTTAATGGACACCAAATTCAGTCAGATACTTCTTCGATTAACACGGGATCGACTGATTTTTCGTTTGATGGCTATAATCCTGGTATAACCAGCGATAATGGTAGTAGCGTAAGCAGTAGTAGCGACAGTAGTTCATCTAGCTTCCAAGCAGACGTGTATCCACTACAAGAGGGTTACGGACTGATCCATGCAAGGGGAAATGATACATTTGCTGTGACCGGTGTAGGAATGAAAGTGGGTGGGGGTCAGAGTCCGTGGTTAAATTTCCGGTTCGATACAAGTAAGATTCTTGCGGCCATGAACAGAGCGTCAAATAGCATAAAGTAGAATGGTAAGATCTTGTTCCTAAATCGATGTAATAAATAATGTAATCTACCGAGAACTTCAAATTTTTTTTCAGGGCGAGAACATCACGTGGTATGTCTGCAAAAATCATGTCATAAGACTTGGTGGTTTAGTTTGTAAAACTAGCCCCGAATAATACAAAATGATTCTTTGTTTGAAAGACATCTATTATTTGTTACGCTGGGGGGGAGAGTTTGTTTTCGTGTGGGAATATTGAAAATTTTTTTAGCCCATAGATGGCGTTTTTTTGGGGTAATTTTCACAGGTACACGTTAAGTGATGCTAAGCGTCTGGCTCATTGTACGACTGGTTTCGGGTTACAACAATAGCCACAACCATAACTTATTTGCTTTGGGGGATCAGAAATGTGTAAAGACTATCCCAAATTGCTCAATCAATTGTTATGCGCTTGACACGAAATCATCGAATTAATAGAGAGGGTATGGAACAATTATAAGATTATGGACAGACCTAATTTGTTTTCGGATTTATTAATATTATTTACAAACTTTCTTTACCGTTGGAATAAAAACTTGTTTATTATTCAGACGATTAGACAATCATACGTTTTAGAGAACAACTCGTTCCTTAATGAGATGATGAGCTTGACAGATTGGCAAAATGCTCAAACAGAATTTTTATGCATTATTCACTTTTTTTAATAATTAGGCAGATACACACGCTTTGCATACGGGCATGGATCTCAATGTGCTTAGCGTATTTCTGACATGATGACAAGTTTAGAATGACGGGATTGGACGATATCATGTCACAAAAAAATCCAAGCATTTCTCGGCAAATTAGCTTGAGAGAAATCAGTTTGCAAGTATGTTCTTCACGATTGACGTTGGTGATGAATATAAAGCTTATGCCACTAAACGTGGGTAATACAATAATAACATGTTGGTACTCTTGGTGAATAAATCAGTCGTAATGTCGCTGTATTGCTTATGTGTTGCAAACATCTATTTAATAAACGACAAATTTCCTACATGGCCTTGGTTGTTGTTTGGTGCAACAAGCAGCATGATTATATGCTGTGAAAAATAGAAACGAATTATATTCGCATTGCGTAACTGTTCGATATAAATACAACTCTATCATATCGTCTTTAACGCCGCACTTGACACGAATCAACTGTGGAGAAGGAACCGACAGTTTGGTATATGAGCCAAGCGTAAAGTTGCAGGCGTAACATTTTATGCAGGTTTAGAGGGGGGGGGAAAGCACAGGCCAAGAAATCGACAAATCGTGATGTGTGTCAGATGACATTTTTGTCAGAAATAATAGTTGTCTATTTAGGTAGTTTCATCCACATTAGGAAATTGCCAATTATAGTTACCGTAAGTTGAGAAATTTACTCGTGTTGAAGCTTTCGACAATAGCTCTCGGCAACTTTAGTGAAAATAATTACATGTTTTGATTCTCGGAACATTGGCAATTGTAGAAACTATTTTATTTGCCGTTGCGCTTGTAACGTCTGTCTCCATTGTCAACCATTTTTGTAGCTAGATATTACAACGTATTAGTATCTTTTTTAACATATCTTTTGCACAATAAATTAGCACCGAGGAGAAAGAGAGTAAAAAAGGTTTACATTGCTGCTATAAGCATTTTGCCATGACTGGTTAGTATAGTAATTATAAGCGCACTTTAAATAACGTAAATTACTTGTGGATGTTAATAGAACATCCATTAATCTGTAGCGTAATTTAGCGTTTAAATTGTCACATATGTTTCCAATTAAGGAACAAATAATATACTGTATGTATGTAATAATACGGTATACGATTCGTTTATCTGAATAATTGTAATTGTAATTATTCAGCAGAAAAATTAATTTGGAATATAGCGTTTGATACAGACAGCTTGTAACTTCACAAAAGGCGTCTGATAATTATCAGCTGTCCTTGATGCATTTGTAAATAGGCATTCTCTCGCGGATACAATTAAACGTGTAAATTCATTCAACTTTACGGATAAAAAGTTTTTGACACAACACGTTGATTCTTCTCTAATGCATTTTGATACAATTCTCGTAAATGCCAAAAGCAAGAAAATAGTTATAAAACCGCGATAACCTGTTTGCTATACCGGATAATAATCATGTTACCGAGACTAAAACTCGTGGGAATTGAGATGCATTAGAACAAAAAGTCTGTAATGTTTATGATACGAGTATAACTGCTGACTAATTTAAATAACTAAAGAGATTGTGCTTAAGCTTATATTGTTCATAATTCAACAGGGTAAACTGAAAATAGGTTAAGTAATTCTCTTACAATAATTGTTTGGCATAATAATAGTCTTGTGACCATCAACATTATGCTAAAGGCAGATCAGTTTAATTTGAAACACGAGAGAATTCCGCCTCGTATGACTAAACCTGGTTAACCCCACATTCCATATGAAAAGGGTTCCGTTTTTTATTCTTTCGCACACAGAGAATGTCATCGGCATCCGCAAGTGGAAATATGTGCAAGCTTGTACTAAAGCCGTATGGAGATCAACACCATTCCTGCCACGATTAGAATGATCGGATCGGTTTACAAAAATTCAAACAGGGGAGCGAGGAAAATTTGTTTGAAAATAAACAAGACCCTGCTTTTCTTCATGCAGGAAAAAACAAAGACTGTTTGCCTTTTGCTAAACCATCAAACTCACAAGAGCAGCAAGTCGATTAAACAAGCGATTCGTTTTCTCTCTCTCTCCCCCCCAATAATCCATATTAATTATAAGGTTTGGAAAATTAGCTCAAGTAAACCGTCTGAATAATTGGGGACTTGAAAGTTTCATTGTGGCACGAGTCATTTATTACAGTCATTCCCCTCGAAACGACCAGTAACATTGAATTACGTTTGATTGGTCATTGTAACATGCTAATTACAATTTACTGTTTAGATAAAATGCAACACTACTTTAGCAGAGTAACAACACGACCTATTAGCAAAGTCGCTCATTATTTCCACGGCAGCTTTCCTTTGCTCTCGGATAAAGTTGCGCTTAAAGCGTGTTCTGCATTTTTGTAGAGTTTATTAATTCACATAATTTATTAGTTTATTTATTCGTCGTTTCTTTATAAGGGAGTCTTTATAATAATTTAAAAGAACATTAACAACTGAAAAAAGTAAGGTCTATGTCCCAGGAGGACTTGAGAAAAGAAGATAGCACCATTGCTACATAACATTTACGTTTACCACAGTCTTTCCTTTACCGGCTCCCCCTCCCCCTCCTCCTCCTCTTCTCTTCCTCTCCTCCTCTTCTTCTCTATACTCTCTCTTTCTCCCACTTTTAATTAATAATGAGTAATCCAAACAGAGCTTCACGCCATGCATCTGGTATACTCCCTTCAAAACAATTCTTTGCTCCTCGAAAGCCAATACCTTCATACCCAGCTTCTGCAAGACGAAAATCCACACTCTCAGCCACGTCTCCTGGCTCGCCAACGTCAAATGCCTTTTTATCACCATCGTCGTCAATACGAACACCTATAACATCACTGATCTCGGAAGAGGGTACTTCGACTTATTTGCAACGAAATTCTATTCCGCTTGACCCGTTGTCGTCACCCACTCATGAGACGATCGATACAACAGACGAGAACACGATCTATGTCGTTCGACAGAGTGCATATCATGCTCGTCGGTCAAGACAGGCGAGCTTGTCGGCTGCTGGAGTGCTGGATCCGACTTCTCCTTCTTCCGTGTTGGAACCTACCTCTTCCGTCCGCGCTAGATCGTCTGACCCTATGGGTGGTGTTAATAACAAGCGACTGTCATCCAAGCATAGTTCATTTCTCGCTGTACCATATTCATCTGTAAAAGCAAAACCTAATGTTCAATTAACATCGCATACGGGTGGAACTCCCTCGTCTGAAGGAGGGCGGAGAAGAGTGTACCAATTATGGCCTGGGAGGAATAGGTTTTTCTTGGGTGGGAGGATTATGACTAGTAGAGATTTTCCTGCATTTGCAGTTGCACTTTCAGCTCTGATTATACCGTCATCATTGTTCCTAGCTTTCACGTAAGTTGGACGTATGGGAAAGGAATGTTATGCGATCTATATGTAACAAGAGGTTGTGTATATGTTGAATCATCACTAAAGATCGGTTTCTTCTTTTTCTTCAATTTTAGGTGTCCATTTTTGTACAGTCATTTATCACCTGCAGTTGTATTTGTCTTTGCATATTTATTCCTTTTGGCATTAACAAGCATGTTGAAGACATCGTGGTCCGACCCTGGCGTAAGTGTCACGATAACAAAGCAAGGGGGTTCTCAAGCGAGCGAGCTGGGTTGAAACTCTTTGATTGGGCGAATGCCTGTTTTGTTTATTTTGCGCTAACTTGCGCTTCTACTTATTTAGATTATTCCCAGAAATCTTGATCCCACTCCACCGATTGAGGAATCTGAAGTTCTTGATAACATTGGACAGAACGACACTCCGTTTCCGTATTACCAATCGCGTACCTACGTACTACCAAAAGACGTTAAGGTTAATGGGCAAACAATGATATTAAAATACTGTAACACGTGCAAAATTTACAGACCACCGCGATGTAGTCACTGCCGGCAATGCCAGAACTGTGTTGGTGCGTATCAAGCGTGTGGAATATCTATGCATGTTTTTTGTATTATATATAGTACTAACTTGTGATTTTTGTAGAGAATGAGGATCACCATTGTATCTGGCTTAACAACTGCATTGGAAGGCGGAACTATGCAACGTTTTTCACATTCATATTAACGGCAACTGTAATATGCTTTTACGTGCTTGGTTTCAGTCTGGTCCATTTGTTTTTGTTGATGCGTGAACGGCATGAGAACTTTTTACAGGCTATAATGGATGCACCCATAAGATATCCTTTTTCTTGCAAAGCAATAGTGATTTGTTTATGAATAGCGTACCGAAGAATGTTATCCTTGACTGTTGATATATACTTTCGTTTTATCTATATTATCGTTCTTTCTTATGTGGTCAGTGGGTGGATTAACTGCATACCACATGTATTTAATAAGCAAAAATCTTACTACTCATGAACAGGTGAGTTGTGAGTTGACACGTGTGAAATGTGAAAACTGAAATAGCTGATAAGGAGCGTCATTATTATTCACCCTGCTCACTAATATAATTCTCTTTTAGTTACGCGCTCCAATCGCTCGTCGTAATGGAGCCCGTCATCCATTTGACCGCCACAATCTCTTTAAAAACTGTTTCTGGGTCCTTTGTAGGCCATCAATAACCAGGTCAGTACATTACGAGGCAATTACAGTAATGCAATTATTCATCACTTGTTTTGGCTAAATAAACCTTTATGTATTTAGCACCATTCATCGTCGCGCTTTTGTTGATGCAACGCTTCCATCCACGACAGCACCTACGCCTACGCCTTCGTTTCCAAATCTATTTTCAACAGCCGCCGTATCACCGTTAAATACACGACAATCACAGACGCAGATACACGAAACCGTTGGATCAAGAGATCATCAAGCTACAATGGATGCTAATATTGCATGATTTATAATGAGAATAATAACGTGTTACATTAAACTTTTAACCTGTAATTAATCGGCTTGGGTATAGTTGAGTATAATTGGTATGGAGCGTCTTTTAGACGGGACGTTAAAACCATGCCGCAAAGTACAAATTAGATAATATTGTATTAGAGACGTATATTAGAGGTTGACTCATTTTAATAAACCCAAAAAAAGTTCTCGAATTTGTGTAATTCTATCAACATGACGGGACCCACATAACTATCAAAGTGCTGGATCACAGGAAAATATTGATGAAAGCTTTTCAATCAAGCGGTGTGTGCGTTCCCGCAATAAAATAGTGCCAGAAGTGTATGGCGAACGTAAGCAACAGTCTTAAAAAGTGGTGACAATCATGGTCTAATCTCGATAGAAACTGTAATCCTTCCACGCAAATTAAATAATAATGACTCGAACTAGTGTAATCCGCAGATACATCGATAAAGCCTGTGTTACCGTGCTCGGGTATTACACACGTAATTAAAACGTGTGACTATCTTTAAATTGTCAGGCCAGTGTTGTGGGCCAACGAACTGTAATAATAAATTGAATCAATCCAAAGAGTGCTGCACACCAACGTAAATCTATAGGTAAACCAAAATGAGATATACAATAATAGAAACATCGTAATTAACCATCGAATAAACTCCAAAGATAATAATACTACACTATCTACTTTTTGTCTTCATGACCTCTTAATTCTGTTTCTGGAACTTGGGTCGCTGAGGTCTCCAATAAGTAAGAGCGTACTAGAATATTTACTCTCCTTCTCGAAACGTGATAATGGTTTTACATCATTATGGTAGATAGTCCTCCATAGGTTGTTGACAGAAGTGTTGTACCCCTCTTCTGTAATAAAAAGTCTCAAGTGATTCTGCTTATCAGGATCAGCATCACAACACCGCTCAGCAAGTCTCTTGTATTCCTCTGGCGCGGAATCCTACCTGGCACGCTTGGCATGATTTCTGAATTACAAATAAAAATAAATGGATAGATAAATAAAGTCGGATTAAAATACCGCGCGTAATTAATAATAATAACAACAACATCAAAGATTGCTTACCTCGGAAGTGGACAATTCTGGCATCTGAATCAAAATGCTTGAAACGTTTGAGAATAATGTACAGTATATGCATGAAATATATATTGAAATCATCTGCTAGCAAATCGGGGAGAGCTTGGTAGATAAATATCAATATGGACATTTACGTCAGATTGTTTAAGTAGCAGGACATGACCATGATATTTATATATGTGCATGAGATTTCCTTTTTCTTTCGAATAATACTTATATGCGTTCCTTTCGATAATAATTTTCCTATAACTTACCAGTATGTTTCCCGCAAATCGGTCTGCGAGCAACTTGCAGAAAATTGTGATACGAGAAAAAGACAGAGATATCACATGTACCAATGTTTCATCATCATTGGCTATCTCCAATTCCTCTGTTGTTCACTTGTTCAGAAAACACTAATCCCATTCATGCGCTTCACTGATAACAGCTACCACTTTTCTTGTCCTGCCCACTAGTTTGTCTAACAGTACAGTTCAACAGAACTATTTTAAAATAAAGTCACGCCCCATGTTGTTATATTTCTTGTGGCGGTACTGCAAGTAAAAAGTATTAGACTATACATTGCAAGGTGAACGGATAAATAAAATGTGTAATGTAACACAACTGTTGAGAACTAACATTGTGTTCATTCGAAAAGAATTTTCTAATTCAAACTGTTACCATGTCGTTAGCATCAGAGACTCTTAATAATCCAGCCATTGCCAACTTGGTTGAATCCTCCTTGGAAAGCGAAAATGAATACTTAAGACTGAAATGGATTTCTTACGAGGAAATCACCAACGTAAAGCCAACTCAAATTGACAACGTCTACTACGCCATTCACAAACGTAATGGTGATGAGACGACGATAACGCTAGTATTACTTGGAAAAGACGAAGATTGCACGCCAACATTTGTGAGTGAGTTTGCTAGGATACATTCACTTCCAACACACAAGAACGATAATGACAATAACTTTAGACGATACTCCAAATGGCTTGAGTGGCGCAACGAGCTCATTATTGGATTTACCAAGTCTAATGACGATAACTATTACATGGTTGCTAGTAAACGCTTTTACCATTATTATTCTCGATATGGCTTCTGCTCCACATGTGGAATACTCCGATGTAGTCCCGTGTGG